ACTGACATATGACGCCTGCTCCACAACCATTTGAAGTAGAGCTTCCATCCACATATACCTTCCAGACTTGGTCTGGAACTTGAGAGTCAGGAGGACGAGTCATCTCAACAATAAAGTCAGCAAAGGCTTGCCCCTTCACTGCTTTTCTAGGCTCGAAAGTAACTTCGAGGCTCTGTATTTTTATGGCCCATTTGATCATTCGGCCTGACGACTCCATGATGGTCAGTGGCCGCTTGATAGGTTGGTCTGTATACACGACGACTGCATGTGCCAAAAAGTAGGGCTTCAATTTTTTAACAGCCATGAAGAGTGCAAGACCAAATTTCTCCACTAAGGGATACCTCAACTCGGCATTTTTCAGTACATGACTGACAAAGTAGACCGGGAGCTGACAGCCGTCTCTTTCAGCAAGGAGAACAGCGCTTAACGCATGATCAGAGACGGCCAGGTACATGTAGAGTACTTCTTTGGGCAAAGGGCTGACCAGCCTCGGCAAGGAATGCAAGTGAAATTTCAATTTCTGGAAGGCCGTCTCAGCATCCGGCCCCCATTCAAACCTTGCCTTTTTCTTAATTGCCTGGAAAAAGTATAGGCATTTGTCGCCTGATCGACTTAGAAATCTTCCCAAGGCCGCCAGACAACCTGTTAACTTCTGAACCTCTCGGATGGTACGAGGCGACTGCATGTCAATGACCGCCTGCACCTTCTCAGGGTTCGCCTCTATTCCTCTCTGATTGATAAGGAAACCGAGAAATTTCCCAGACTCAACTCCAAAGACACATTTCTTGGGATTGAGCATGACATGGTGCCGCCTGAGTGTGGAGAAAGTTTCTCGGAGGTCCGACAGATGATCTTTCTCAAGTTTAGACTTGACAATCATATCATCAATATATGCCTCGACATTTCTCCCAATTTGATCAAAGAACACAGTGTTTATCATTCGCTGGAAAGTGGCCGGGGCATTCTTAAGACCAAACGACATGACCGTGTAACAGTATAACCCCTGATCAGTGACGAAGGCCGTCTTCTCCTGATCTTTCTTCCATAAAGGAATTTGATGGAAACCAGAGTAGGCGTCCATAAAGCTCATCAAAGCATGGCCGGCTGTTGAGTCGACCAGGTTATCAATTTTAGGCAGAGGGTAACTGTCTTTGGGGCACGCCTTGTTTAAGTCTGTGTAGTCTACACACATTCGCCAGGTGCCATTCGGTTTTTTAACAAGCACTACATTTGCAACCTAGTCTGGGAAGTAACATTGCCGAATGAACCCTGCATCAAGTAATTTTTTAACTTCGGCGGCTGCCGCCTGACTTCTTTCTTCGCCATGGTTCCGCTTCTTCTGCCGTACCGGCTTCTTTTTCGGATCCACGGCCAGTTTATGTACCGCCAGATCAGGACGAATGCCTGGCATTTCATGGACTTCGAATGCAAAGATGTCCTTCTATTCTTTCAATAGTTTGTGGAAGTCGTCACCTAGGACTCTCAGAGCAGTCGTCCCAACTTTGACTGTTCGGTCAGGACGCGAGTCGTCTAGGATCAGGTCCGTATGCTCACCAGCCGGCTGAGGGCGGAATTCATCCGACCGCTCCTCTGCCAATGATTGTTATTTTCTATCTTTTCGTGCGGCCCCTGTCTGGGATGCCTTTCTCTTCTTGCCGCCTGCTTCTTGAACAGGCGCACTCTCCTTGACATTGTCAAGGTCTAGTTTTCCACCACTCGACCCAGTGGCCATAACAGTGGGATTGACATCCGAGAGATAGCACTCTCGGGCCATCCTCTGATCTCCCCTTAGGGACCCGACTGTTCCATTATCCCTCTCAAACTTGAGCAACATAAGAGATGGGATTATAACAGCCTTGGAATTATTCAGGGTTGGTCGTCCCCACAGACGGCGCCAAAATGTTTCGGGGTTTTCTGATGTCCTGCGGGAGAGTTACAATTCCGAGACTGGAACCGGACTACCATGTGTCGTCCTTCCCCTTTTTCGCCCAGGCGGATGGGTAAATCCACTCGTCCCAGTGGGTGGACGACTCCTCCTCCAAACCCTACTAAAGGGTGGGATACCGGATGTATGCAATTAGTCTGATATTTTAGTTTCGACAGACATTTGCTACTGATGAGATCTGAGGAGCTTCCGGTATCTATGAGGATTCGGCCAACTCTCTGGTTGGCCACTTTACATTCAATAACGATAGGGTCGTCATGCGGCCCTCTTACCCCTCCTAGATCTTCTTCAGTGATGACAATCTCAGGAAATGAATATTTGGAGGGCCGTTCTTGGTGAACGGAATTTACATCTAACCGTCTGATGTTGTCTTTGTTGCCCCTAATAGTGGGGCCGCCTCCTGAGAAGCCTCCTGCAATGGTGTAGACGACTGCATCATCTGTGTCGGAGCTTTCGGCCTGTTGATTCTTTTTTGCCGACTGCTTTTTCGAGGAAGTGTTCCCCGTAGATTTCTTGACATAAGTGTTAAGATCAACTTGCTCAGCCAGGCGGTCCAGATACCGCATGAGACTGATGCAGTCATTGGTGTGATGACCAACATCTTCATGATAATCACATAATTTTTCTTGGTTCCGATTGTTTGCAGAACCCTTCATGGGGACCGGCTTCTCAATTGAGATCCGTCCCTTGATTTCTTTTAGGATAAACTGGTTATCCTTGTTAAACGCATACTTTGGGGAGTATGGTTTGAATTCTTTTTTCTTTTTCTGGGCCGGCTGTTTAGAGGAATCAGCCGCCCAGACCTCTTTTCTCTTCTCGTCTTTGTTTGACGACTGTTTCTGTCGTCCTTCTCTTTTGTCGAACCTTTTCCCGTCCGACTGTTTTCCCGTACTACAAAGATCAGTCGCCTGTATATAGGCTTCTACTTCAATCAAGGCCTCTTGAAGAGTCGCCACCCTCTTTCGGACCAAATCAAATTTGAAGGTCGACCCGTCTTTGAGACCTTTGAAAAAGTCAGTATAGGCTAATTCATCCGGTAACCCTTGAATCTGTATTCTCATCAGGTTAAACCGCCTGATGTAAGAACGAAGCCCTTCCTTCTCGCCCTGCTGAATTGTTCCTAAATCAAGGGTCGTCTTCTTCGCAGGGATGTTCATGGCGAAGTTGGAGGTGAATAAGTAAGCAAGCGTCCTGAAGTTATTTACACAACCAGTCGACAGGTTGCCGAACCATTGTTGTGCGATTCCTTTGAGAGTCGCTGGGAAACACTTGCACCAAGTGGGATCATCCAACCCTTGAAGGTACATCAGGTTGGTGAATGCCATCAGATGGTCTTCTGGGTTAGTAGTGCCGTCATAGGCGCCTACTAATACATTTTTCACTTTGGCCGGCTGAGCGGCTTCAGTAATTTCCTTGGAGAAGGCCGACGGCTGTTCGCCAATTCTAAGCAACCGTAGCTGTCAGTCCATAGGTTGGACGTTTTTTGCTGCATGTCCACCAAACGGAGATGGCTGTAAGAAATACTGTTGTTGCGGTACAAACGGTAAGTTTGGTACCGCCTGGTCGCTATGATAGCCGGACTGACGGGAGGTGCCGCCTGACTGACTCTCATGATACGACTGAGTATGCCTCATCGAGGTATTTCGCAGACTGTCTTGGAAGTTTGAAGTAGAGGCCGACTCTGACAATCGGTCACTCTTCTTCTGCTCTAGCAGTAGCCGAGCGTCTGTGTATGATTTCCTCGACCCGTCCGCCTGAATATGACGAACAGGTTTCCTATTTCCTGGAGTAGGAAAACGGTATTTTGTGAAATCAAGGGCAGGTGGCTCCCGCTTCCTAGATTTAGGATGAGGAGTCGCCTCTCGCCCTTGAACTGGTTTCCTCTTCAGTGAAGTGGAAGGTTTCTTAGCCGACTGCTCCTTGTCCAGAGCAGGCGGCTTCTTGTTGATCAACTCTTGAATTTCTCCCTTGAAGTCCCTCATGAAGGTCATGAGTTCGTTCCTTGTGATGGGAGCAGACCCATCAGTCGGCTGCTGCCGAACAGGCGGTGCGCCTGCTGGCTCGCTTCCAGTTTGAAGATGTTCCCGTTCCCTCCTTTCGGTATGACGGGTACGTCGGGCCCTTAGGGTCCCGTCTGAAGCTGTGTGAGCTTCAACTTCAAATTCATTCTCAGTATCGTGGTCCGACTGAACTTGAGGGTCGTCTAGGGGACGCCTCTCTTCAGGAGTCGGTACAGACTTGGATGCCATCTCAGAAGTACTCTCCCCACAGACGGCGCCAAAATGTTTCGGGGTTTTCTGATGTCCTGCGGGAGAGTTACAATTCCGAGACTGGAACCGGACGCCTGTACCTGCAAAACAACGGAGACTCCTGGTGGTGGGAGCTCCGCCTCCGACGGTCAAGTTAGTACTTGATTAAGGAGTAATTAATGCGGAAATTAAAGTGATTGGGTCTCTCTAGGTGAGAGTGTTTAATGTATGTAATCTGCTTTTTAGCATGCAATTCATGTAATCCCCCTTAATGAGGATTAAGGGAGGTATTTATAACCTTGGGAAACGTGCCAATCCTAGGTTTAGGTTAACCTAGGGCTGATTGGGCTTCCCTCGGAAGTTGGGCCTGGGTGGCCGATTTCTCCATTAGGCATGGAGTATGCCACGTGTCATGACATAATAGGTCCAAGGTGGACGAATAAGCGTGTGCCACGTGGCAAGCCCTGACAGTTCCAACTGGGGGACACTTGGCAGGACCTGATTGGCCCACGTGGCGCATTCCGATTGGTGGGAGCAAAATCCCCTAATCAAAAATACTTTGTAATTTATTAAGAATAATTTGGCCTCCCTGGTGGTAGGTCTCCCTCAGGTGACAAATAATAAAGTTATTATTATTATTGCGCTACATGTTGAAAAATTGGTGAATGATTTAGAGTTGGGGGTATTTTACTTGGTTATCTTTCATTCAAAGAAAGAAAACAAAAATTATATATCATTTAACGGTTGAACTAGCTTTTAATGAGACAAGCTATAAGGAAAGAAATAATCAAAAAGCCAAATGAAATCAAACAATATGAAATTTCCTTAGAAAAACATATATTATACAAAGTATGAAATAATTAGTTCATGGTCATAAAAGTTCCAAGAGACAACAAGGCAGTCCATGTTCTTTCATATTATCCAATAGCAATATCCAAATTCCATAAATAGTAGACCCCACCTCTTTCTATTATTCTCATACGTAATTAATTAATTACCTAGTTAGTATATATATATTTTCATTTCCTCCATTATAATTCCTTTCTTTTTCTCTCAACTTCTCTCACTATAATTTTCTAGCCATGAATGTTACAGATGATCACCATAAGCACGATGATGATCATGAAGCAATCGCGACGAATGATCTTAAATCACCCCTTCTTCCCCTCAATCACAACGATGTTAATCAAGAGAGTTCCACCTCCCTAATCACGTCACTCGTCACACCTAACACGTTCTTTATTGTTCTAGGACCTTTGTTATGTGGAGTAATATGTATGTGGGTCAAAGTTGGTGAATTGGAGTCAAGTAGAAATATGTTGGGTGTTCTTGCATGGATTTTTACGTGGTGGTTAACCATGGCCGTCCCTATGCCGATCACCTCCATGGCGCCGTTGTTCCTTTTCCCGCTTTTCGGAATCTCTACCGCCGATGTGGTTGCTAAGTCTTACATGGATGATGTGATTTCTCTTGTGCTTGGTAGCTTCATTCTTGCTCTTGCTGTTGAACATTATAATATTCACAAGAGGTTGGCCTTGAATGTAAGTCCTAAATGTTTTTTTCATTTTCTTGTCACTTTTAAAATTTGTTGACACGTAATAGTGAATAGCTAGTTTTTATGTGTATAATTATTAATTAGGACACATGCTTATGATTGTTTGTTTTTGTTAAAATTTTACCGATTAAACTAGCTTATTGGATCAATATTAATAACATAAGATTCATAATTGATACATTCATAGACTTAGTCTTAATTACCAGTTTACCACCATTTTGGGTTGTTGATGGTGGTGATGATTGCGTGTTTTGAGTTAATCAACTATTTAATTTGCAGAATATTCAATATGAATATGTAAGTAATGTACACCACATAGTTGAAAAGTAAGATAGACATAAAAAGATTTTTGTACTTTATCTTAAAAGTTGAAAGGTGGCATCTAATTTACAATTGTGACATACAAACTAATTGATCTTCGATTATTATTGCCCGATCTTCAATTTTAGCTATTTAATTGTGTTACGTACTTGGATACGTAAAACATTATAAATTTACTCCATAACATTATTGTATGACACTATTACACACATTAGACTGTTGTAATTGTTGTTACTCTCTAAGTCAATCTTCTTATAAACATCAAGGATTTGGGGATAATTGAATCAAAGTTCTAGTCTTTCTTACATTTTAATTTTGGTTATTCTTATTGGAGATATGACTTTAATTAGTCTTTAAAGTTGAGGTGAAATTAAAAGAGTTTTGAATTAATCATCCCCTGACAAAGACATGTTATTCTAGTTGTATCCCTTAATAAAAATCTGTGGTAATAAAACAATTTAGTACAATAATTGTAGTCCCTACTAATTATAGTAAGGCGACAGGTGGTGCAATGAAGTAAAAAAGCCAAGAAATAGATTCCATTATTATCACTCACTCATATACAATACGGAGTAATAATTTACATCCAATCAATTGATAGGCAGTTGGCAGTCTTGGCACATACAATACATGATTGGGGATACTTGGTCATTTTACATTGGTCTATTTGTTTGTTCATAACATCAAATTATATGAAAGATCAAACACTAATTTTCTATTGGTCCAAAATTATTTCCATGTGCTAATAGTTTGTTTTATATATAGTTCAATGATTTTATATCTTATGAATTATTAAAGCCTTATTCAACTCAATACAACTTAGAAAAATAAGATTCACTATATAAGCAAATGGGACCTTCCACCGGGGCCATTCGGGGCCAGGCCCTCCGTAAATTATTATAATTAATTAGTTAATGAACTTAAATAACCTATATTTACTTATAAAATATTGGAGTATAGTGATCAGTTTTGAACAAGAAGTAAAATATTAAAATCCTGGCCCCTATAATATTTTCGGCCAAGATCCGCCAATATAAGAATAATCAATTTCAATTTATTATAATAATCATTATTTTAAATTAACAATATTTTATTCTGTAATTAGTACGAATTTGTATAATTAAATTAATGAAATACATTGTTCATAGTTAACCATCTAGATTATATGTATGTACTCATTTGTTTATACTAGAAGCATGTTCTAATTTCCTACCAATTAAGATAAATGTTTGATGTTTCGAATACATGTACAGATAACTATATTATTTTGTGGCGATCCTGTAAATCCTCCTCTACTTTTACTTGGGATTTGTGCCACAACGGCATTTGTCAGCATGTGGATGCACAACGTGGCATGCGCCGTGATGATGATGCCCGTGGCCACCGGAATCTTACAACGACTTCCGACTACGAGGACAGGGCAATCCGACACCGTGAACAAGTTTTGTAGGGCAGTGGTCCTTGGAGTGATATACTCTGCGGCTATAGGCGGAATGTCTACTTTAACTGGGACAGGTGTCAACCTGATATTGGTTGGGATGTGGAAGAGTTATTTTCCTGAAGCAAATCCCATTAGTTTCAACACTTGGTTCTTCTTCGGGTTTCCTTTGGCTGTCGTAATCTTATTGTTTATGTGGGTTATTCTTTGTTGCTTGTATTGTGAAAGAGGTTCATCAAGGGTTCTTTCTAATTACTTGGATAAAGCTCATCTCCAAGCAGAACTTGACTCGCTAGGTAAAATACACATACTCTGATCTTTACGGAATTCTTTTATTTAGTGAAATTAGATTTCTTTTAACTCCGACGTCCTTTATTAAACAGTCTTTTTATTTTAAATTTATCATAAACTTGATTTAAGTCGTAAAATTCGGACCATAAAAACTCACTTAACTTATGGGTTATAGATGAATTGAAAGTATAAAATCATATATTGTTAATATATCTAAGTACTTAGCTAAGTACATGAGTACATGACTAAATGTTTAAGTAGAGTTTGACTTTTTTTTTTTTTTTTGACAAAGGACAAATATTTTATTGCTAAAAGAGTAAAAGGGATAATTATGAATTCTACCACAATTCTTAGTGGTAGATGGATTTGATTAAATTTAAGCTGACAAGTAGGAAAGAGAATAAGAGATGCATCTTATCCAAAACTTTGAAGATGTCACACTTGGTAGTTGGTATGTTATATACATGGCTTAGTTTAATTATATTTATGTACAAAGTACACGTAGTATGAAAGTTGGATTTAGAACTTATCCAAATCGATTATTTGACTATTGACTCTTGTCAAGGGATAATTTGATTGTTTACTATTTTCATGGGGACGCAGGTCCAATGTCCTTCGAAGAAAAGATGGTGTTGTCCGTCTTTTCGGTAAGTAATATTTTCTTCGTTCAAAATTAATTTAAAATGATTGAGTTAAGAGCTTGTTCTTTTCAGCTTATTTTTATTTTATTTCAGATCAACTCTAATAAATTCATTTTAGTTCAGTTCTTAATTTCTTTCTCTCATAAAATATTCAGTTTAGTTCAGTTCAACTCAGCTTAGCTCCAATAAGTTCAGTTCAGCTCATTTCAGTCAATTAGAATAAGCCTTAAATGTATAAATTAAAATGCTAATATGATCAATAATAATAATTAAAAAAATCGCACATTAATTTTTAATGGTTATACTTATGGACCGTATATAACACTTAAATTAATTACAGTATGTTTGATAACCTAAATTGTTGTAAATATTCATAAGTAATGAATTTTTACTTTTTTTTCCCCTTGGGAATGTAGGGGCTAATAGTGCTATGGATGACAAGGAACTTGACAGATGAACTACCAGGATGGGGAGCTCTTTTTAAAGGAAGAGCTGGTGATGGCACTGCTAGTGTAAGTACTTGCATTGTAATCTTATGTAAATACAATTAATTAACGTTAATAACCAAAATTTATAAGGGAATTTTAGGTTTTCTTTTAGTTTTGAGATCATCCTAATTAACTTTGACAATCAAATTTCATCCATAAATTAAACGTCTATCATGACTATCTTATAAAAATGGTGTACAAAATAATTCTTAGAATAAGCTTTGTAACTACTCTTACATGCATACAATTAAATTCGGTGGACTGTATAGTATTTGGGCAAACTCTCCCACGTTGTTGACATGTGCTTGTCTCAATCATAGTAGTTTATAATTTGATCACAAAAGTCACATCAACTTGTTTCAATCACAGTAGTTTATAATTTGATCACAAAAGTCACATGAACTTGTTTTCATAGAATAGAGATTTGTGTAAGTTCACTGTGGACCAGTTCTCAAACGTTTATTTTCAGTTCAGATCAGTTTAGCTCCTAATTTCCTTCTCTTATAAAATATTCAATTCATTTCAGCTTAGCTCAGTTCAGTTCAGTCTATGAGAACATGCGCTACATGTGTGAAAGTCTAACTGGCTAATACAAGAGGGGGGGTGAATTGTATTTGAGGTGAAATCTAAAAACTTTTTGCGGAATTTAACTAAATGAAATAGTGACGAGAGAAGATATAGGCTTTTCTAAATTTCCACTAAGTAATCAAACTCTTTACAAGTGAAGATTCAAACCCGTTAACAAGTTCCACAAATTAGGAACTTGTTCCCAACTCTCACAGAAGACTTCAGCAACGAAGCTTCCTTGACCTCACTTTACAAACTCACAATCCCAACCCCTAAGTACTTGAATACAATCTGTGATTACAAATACCTATTGCACTCAAGAATATATGAAGGAAAATAACTCTCTTTATGTTATTAGATGGCTACTGGAATTTTTATGCTCAAGAGTTATGTTTTTCTGAGATAGTTTGCATGAGTATTTATAGAGAAGGCTTAGTCATTAACCTCCACCATAATCACGTCCACATGTCAACAACCCACTAACAACTTGTGGAGTTATCTTGACAGATTGTGATCATGAAGAGGTTTCCTAGCCTTATCTAATTAAACCACTATCCTAACAACTTGATAACCATTAGCCGTATAAAAGATTTTCTCACAGAAAAACCACTTGCTAACTTTATCAAATATTTATTTAAAAGATTATCAAAAGTTTGTTTAAAAAGATTTTATTTGAAAAGATAAATTTATTATTTATTAAAACAACTAGATAATTATCTTCGATAATTATCTTTATTAAAACTTTTACAAATTATCTTTTCTTTAAGAAATTATCTTTTAAAACTAACTTTTATTCCAGTAGTCTTTAACATAAGTCATTGAGTTCCTTTCCGACTTTATATTATTGAGTGCTCACAATTAAAACTAGAACGTGAGATTTGCACGAGGCTTTTTAAAGAATGCTACTCCGCATCCAAGTTCCTACTCCGGAACGAACTTTGCTTGAATCCTTTATTCACCAAAGACTCAAAACATTCATTAGTCGAGTTTGTCAATTTGTCCATCAAAACCAAAAGGCTCAACAAATTCCCCCTTTTTGATGATGACAAACATTGACAAACTTAGGTAAATAAAATCATCCAGGCATGCAACAAAAATTTAGAGTAAGGCATGAAAACAAAAAAAAACAATTAAAGAACTTAGAAAAATATTAAAAAGTATTTTTTTTTTTTTTTTTTTTTTTTTTTAAAAAAACTGAGCAAAAGAAAAATTAACAAAGACTTTAAAAACTGAACTTGGCAAAAGTTTGTACCTTCGATGTGTGAGTTCCTTGGTAAACACTTTAGCCGCCATGAAGTTTGTCTTTTCCCCCTTTTGGCATTATCAAAAGATTGAAAAAAAACATTTTGCTATACTCCCACTAGACTACGTAGGGAATAGTGAGCTCAAATAATGCAAGGCAAAAATAAGTTAGGTACCAAATTATCAGCAAACACACACAATCATATGAAAAATACGAGCCAAGTTCCGATTTAGGAAATAGAAGAGGAACATAGAGAATGTAGCAAAGGATAAAGGCGTACAAACCAAAGTTCAGAGAGATTAAACAAAACCAAAATAAAATTGTTCAACATATGAAATTAGAATAAGTGCAATCAAGGATTTAAGAGGCTGCATTGGTAGGATCAAGGGTTGGATTTGTGGGATCAATAGAGTCTTCCTCGACTTCCTCAAAGGCTACTTTGTTGATAGTTTCCAAGATCTCCTTGTTGCCTTCACTAAACTTGCCTTCAGCCTGTGCAAGCTTTGCCTCTACGCCTGCAAATCCGGTTGCTTGAGAATCTGCCAGAGCCTGCACCTGGCCTTTAAGAGAAAGCAGTTCCGAGGCCATTTCCTCCAGTTTCTTGCTCACCAGAGTAGTCAACTTCTCCATATCTGCTTGAACCTGTTGAAAATCATAAACAGACACACGAGTTCCAGAGAAAGCAGCAAAGCCAGTAGGCTGAAATGGAGGAGGAGAAGGTGAATGAGAAGGCTGCCTAGTAGGTGAGACAGGAATAGAAGAGGGTTCAGTGGAAGAGGGAACTTGGGTAGGTTTGAAGGTGGAATCAGATTTGTCTGAGGAGCTGATGGTTTCTACAGTCACAGGGTGTGTAGTAGAAAGGGCAGGCTTGACCACATTCCTCTTACTCCTTCTAAGGCCCCCTGTAAACACAGGAATGACAGGTGGTCCAGCTGTGCTCTCAGAGTCTGTGGTATGTTCCCTCTCACTTTGATCAGTTCCCTGCCCCTCATGTAAGTCAGATTGTCGAGCTTCCCCCTCAGAAACTTCCATATGTTCCCCCTCAGAATCTTCCTGTTTTTCTCCTTGCACATCTCCCTCAAGTATTTTTTCTTTGTTTTTCTCTCCGTTAGAACTTTTTTCTTCTTCCTTATCTCCCTCAGAATCACTGGAGGTGGTAGCACCCTCACTAGCCTCCTCACTACCCTGGTCACTGCTTGCATCACATTCTTCCTTAGCTTCTTTCCCTTTCCCTTTCTTTTTCTCCCCTCCTTTCCGAGGCACAAAACATACTTTGCCATTTGTAAGCCTAAGACTCAGTCTAAGTAATGATTGTTCAGAGAGGATATTATCGGGTTTGAGATATGTTGGGGATTCACATTCAACATCAATACCAAAAGATTTGAACAACACAGTAAGGAAAGAGCCATATGGAATTGTGGTCTTTTGAGCATAAAAATTCAAGTGTTCAATCATTAGAGCAGGGAAATTAATCTGTATTTTGCATGCAAGACAGAATATGAGGGAGGCATCCAAGAGTGATACGGTACTCCGTTTTTGTAAACGGGGTACTATACCCTTCCAGGTGAAGGTAAACAGTAGCTTATGAAGGGGTGTTAGGGCATGATGGTGAGTAGTTTTCACTTTCGGATTTCCTCCAATAAATTGAAGGATTTTGCATTCATCATTATGGCCAATGTTTACAGATTGTTTGTGCTTTAAATAAGAACAATAGCCTTTAACAGGAACTTGAAATAGATTTCCAAGATAATTGGCATCAAACGAAATTGGAATATCATTAACTACGGCCGAGCACACACCATTATCACATTGAAAGGTATTTTTGAACTCATAAATAAATTTAGGATAAACAGGGTAATGAGAACAATTCTGGAACAAGTGAGTCCATTTTTGATAATCAATTAAAGAAGTAAATTCAGTGAACTTACTCGCCACACACCAATCATAGTTGATGTGATATCCGAGAGTGTAATTCCATGATGGGAATTTGGTGGTTGCGCGCCGTTTCCTGTCGCCGCCCTTCACAGCCTTAGCCTTCCTCTTTGGCTGAGCAGATGGATGCACCACCGCAATTGGCACCGGTTGTGGAGACCCCGTGTTTGAGGAGGGTTTGAATGGTGGTGATCGGGTTTTTGGGGTGGTGTTTCGGTTGGTTTTCATGGTGTTGAAGGTAAAATGAAGGGAAGGAGAAGATGAATAGTGTGAATAGGAAGGAGAGAGAGTGAGGCCGGTTATGGGAGTGTATGGGGAATTTAATTGATTTGATAGGTGAAGGTGGAGTGAAAAGAAGAAAAAGAGTTTAATGGGGAGGAGTGAGAAAGAAAAGTGACGGTTTAAACTGTGAGGTAGTGGGGTAGTTTTAGAGGTAGTAGGATTTAATTTGGTGAAATAATTGCACTCATCTAATTCAATGTTGATAAAATAAAATCGTAAGTTAAGAAGTTGATATACATGCTTCTTATCTTACGTAGCAAATAAGATCTTTTTGTATTTTTGAATTCTATGAGGAATAGAAAAATTCATCATGAAAAAATAAGGAAGGAAAAAGATAAGAATAAAAAATAAGATAGAAATAAAAGATAAGAAAGAAAATAACAAGAAGAAAAATAAAAAAAAACGAAAAAGATAAATGAGAGCAGATTGATTGTAAATTATGATGATAATTTACGTGATCATGATACAGAGAGTAAAGAATGATGAAAAAGGAACTTGAAACAACATGGCTCAATACTTTTAACATATTAAAAGTATGTATAAGTGACTTTTCAATACTTCACAAATCTTTCCCCTGGGTAATTTCAGCTGTGTTATTCACACAAGATTGAGCGTAGCATTGTTAGTTACATCCGATTTTACCTTAGGGGTTCCAAACAAAAATCACTTGAGCCGTAGCATCCCCAATTCCACACGCATCTTTTCAAACTTGTCTCTGCTTAAAGGCTTAGTTAAAATGTCAGCAATTTGAAATTCAGTAGAAATAAAATCTAGCTTAATTAAGCCCTTTTCAACATTATCTTTCAAAAAGTGATGCCTTATATGTATATGCTTAACTTTAGAGTGTTGTACTGGATCTTTAGAAATGCAAATGGCACTTGTGTTATCACAATGAATAGGAACGCACTCTAAAATAATGCCATAGTCACGCAACTGTTGTTTTATCCATAGCAATTGAGAGCAACATGCAGCAGCAGCCACATATTCTGCTTCGGCAGTG